TCATATATATTGGCTCAACACAATGAAAACTAGAATATTCTGTAGATGGATAAGCTACAACTATAATACTAGTCCAACAAATTAGACTTTCAAACAGGCATGTTAATGAAAATATGCTGGAGACTTATATCTCTTGGTTTCTTCATCAAACTATATTTTACTTCTCATTGCATGAAAATATGCATCTATATCGCATCAAAGATTGGTTTCTTTATCCTAGATTATGTGGAGCATGGTTGTGACACATTTTATGGCTTCTTGGATATTTGATATTTGCTTTTAAAATTGTTTTATTGATCTGAGATGTCATGAATGCTTTTGTCAAGCTTCAGCTTTTCTGAAGCTGAAGTTATTATCTTCACATTTTGTGTTTTTATAGAAAGACCGCTGCTGGTCTCAATTTTGGATTCTGATCCAAGAGCAGCAACAAATCACCATATGCATTTTGTTCTTGTTGTTCTACCTTGAAATTTTTGGATCTAATCTATCAATAATGTTTTGATTGTTAGAGAGCTGGTATGACAGTTCAGGCTGAGAGGCTAAATTTTCTCCGATTCCTTTCACACTTTCGAGCTGTACATCGAGGCTCTTCATTTGCTGGTCTTCGCACTACAACTGTGCGGAAACTGCTTCCTGAGTGGGTTTTCTTTCTGTTGATTCATATTTTGCTTGAAATTGTTATTCACTTTGAGGTTTTCGCTTTGCACATATGTTTCCCTGTCTTTCTGCTTTTCACTCATTGTTGGACCCTTTGATAATTTACAGATCCTGGGGTTTTCTCTGCCCTGTTCACACACCTGATGGGAGCCCTGTGGTTTACTGAACCATATGTCTTCTTCTTGCCGTAAGTTGGTCTCCTCTGCTTATTGATCTCCAAAGCAGATTTTTATGCTCGTTTATTATATTTGTTTAATTGAGAAAATCAAGCTGGCACTGATGCTTAAAAAGATGGGAAATTTTTAACTTTCCCTATTTCCTAAATGGTCATGGCTGATCTCTAGCAAGTGCTGGGTTTGCACATGTTATGGATAATTCACAATGTGTCATAAACACGATAGATTATGAAGAAATTGTTCGAGAAATCAAAAAAATGGTTGACATTTGTTAAATAGATATGATACTGATGGATCAGCTGGGCTTCTGATGAAGAGAGAATATCACTCTGTTGGTTTGGTCAACGTATTCAAGGTTTTGGTGATTCAAGATTACCAAGGATATACTCTCCAGTGATGTCACATGTGGATTGTTTTGAGTTAACTCATGCATGTCTTGTCAAAAAAGAAAAGAAGAGAAAAGGGGGGAAAAAACTCGTACATGTGGCTTAAATTTTGAATTTGGCCTGAAACCACTTGAAGATGTATGATATTTCAGTTTGCTTTGGTTGCAGAAATCTGATTGCATGTTACAAAATAGTGAAATCTGTTCTGCGCGGAAAGAACAATGGAGATCATATGTGTTTTGCAGGAGCGTTCTGGCTAGAGAATGCTGAGAAAATGGAGACACGCACCTTCTTTTCCATGGCTCCTTCATTAGTGTACAAGAATTTTAGTTTTAACTAGAAGGCCATGCGTACCTTAGAAATCTATCAAGTTGATAACTCTTAACTCATGGCTCATACGCTCCTAACTCAAATATAATATATTTTTTGTTTTGTGAATCGAGTTATTGATAAGGTTGTGTAAAAGAGTCAAGCCTATATGGTACAATCCATTTTGTTGTGCTTATTGGATATAAAGCAGACAAATACCAAACATGTTTTCTGGCCTTGCAAATGACAGCCTGTAAATATATGATGCAGCTGGTGCTTTTGACTTCAGTAGTTTACTATGTCACTTGGAACCTGAATTGATACAGAGTACGCTGAAACAGGGAAAAGGGAAAGCGAGTATCACACCAAGTAAACAAGGGAAACCTGAATTGGGAAACAGAGAAAATAGATGCTAAGTATAACACCAAGTAAATAAGAAAATAGATGCTAAGTATAACACCAAGTAAATAAGAAATAGATGCTAAGTATAACACCAAGAAAATAGATGGTAAGTATAGTCCTAGGGAAATTGATTTTCACCAAATTGAGAACTCAATTGTCTGTGAAAAATCCTCTTATAGTGAGCTCCATGTCCTTTTTATATTCTAGGGGCACATGTGTTGGCCATTAGTTGTTATTACTTTGGGTGAAGTTATTTTGTAGAGTATATCATTATTGTGTAGTTAGTTTAAAGAGCTTCTGTCTTTAGTATTTGACTTGAAGAATTTTAGTAAGACAAGTGACTATGTAGTCTGACAATCTTCAAGTGGCCAAATTGAACAACTGCATATGCTATCTTGACATAGCAATACTGAAAGGTCAACTTGTTAAGGCTTGGAGCTCTGAAAGCAAACACAGGTTGAAAATAAAGAGCTTAGATTTAGTGGGAATTCAAGTAAGGTCTTAAATTTCTGCATTACTGCATAAAAAATTATTTGTGGCCCGTCTCATTTAATTACTTCTCTTAAAAAGACAAGCAAGGAAATCCATTTGGGCCTTAAATTTCTTTTGGTATTATTTGTACTTCTTTGGTGCAATGAAAATTTCTTTGAGATTCATATATGTGGGAAATATGTTTCTAAAATATATTTTAATAGAATAAGATTGAAGGAGGTTTATGTCTTCTAAATTGCTTGCTTTAGAATATGATAGGAGGCTAGGAAAGTGAGAATCATATGATACTTGGTTGACATTTGAAGAATTGGCCTGTTATAATAGTTAAGACTATGCCTCATTAAAATCTTAAATGATAAAAAGATGTTCAGGGAAAGGTCATAGGAAGGTAAGTATAGAGCATATGATGATTTGTGCTCTAAGTAAGTTTTGGCAAGAAAACCATGTAAGGATAATGTCTTTCAACTCAATTACAAGTAGCACCTGAAGTTTGGCCAACCAATAGCTAGCATTTTTAGCTGATATATTTTGTAATTGCTGTGCTTTAACTCTCTAAGATTTTATATACTATTTGTTGTCAAGCTCTGTAAAATTTAACTGTCAATCCACAAAACTAATCTGCAACATATTAGAATATCACTATGCATTAGTCCTAAAAGATTTTGAGAGTTCCATGTTCATTTAATTTACTAATCTTGTCCAACTCTTTGTCCACTTGTCCACCATTGCAGATATGTAGCTTCCTACCTCCATCTCAACTTCCATCCTTCCTTCTTATGTTGAAAGGTATAAAATAACAAACACAATAAAATCCGTATAGTCCATCAAATGAATGAGACCTGTCACTGGACTGATTTCCAATTGCCTCCTAATGGGCACTCAAAAACTTAGAAGATATGCCTCTTAATAGGCTGTTTATTATGCATTATGTTTAGATACAGTCAGGCACGTCACATCTGATTAGCCTGGTGAAAGTTAAAGAATCGTACCATTACTACTTAGACTTAAAAAATGCTTTTCTTTCTGTATATAATTTGAAAAAAAGTAAAGTGATAAATGTAAAAGCATTTAGCAAAATGTCTCCTAACTGGTGCTAGGTAATTAAAAGGGATTTCTTCAGTTGTCTGCAAACATTTCAGTAAGCAGTTAATGATGTTATTCTGGACCCCTTACTCATCTCAGTATGGGGTCCTTGCTCGCAATCTCTTAGCACCCCTCTTCTGTCAACTGGCATTCCGAACCCATTGATTAAAAGCTCTAATGAAGCCTTGGTACTTAAACAGATTGGGTGCCAGAAGCTAAAGTGGAGAGTCATGCCTTAAATAAGGATGTAAAGCATATGAGCCCCACTGAAAAATGTAAGATGTACAAAATGCATGGATCTATTCCATTCTAGTTAATATCAAGAACCAGGCTATCTCCAAGAATGTAGGAGGTGAATAAATTGCCATTTGGTGCACGGGTAAAGATGCATAAAAATTTCTTCTACTCTTTAGTCTTTATTGAAGGATCTAGTAATACTTAAGTAGAATTTGCTGAAACAGTCATATGACATCACAGGTCAAAGCAAAGAATGAAACTTAAGAGCAGTCATAATTGATATAGGATCCTAGTAACTAGACATTTTCAACAACAAGATATTCTCAACAAAGATTAGGTTGGTATACATATGATACTGGCTGTGTTGTGTGTGTGTGTGTGTGTATTCTGGCCTGTGATTTTGCTTCTCAGAAGATGTCATTTGAATTTGTGTGAATTGCCAAGATGTAGGTTTTGTGCCTAACAAGAAACGTGGAATGCTTGCAAACTCGATAGCTGTATTTTTCATGGTTAAATTATAATGGAATGTAACATTTTGCCAGGTATCACTTCATACTACGATAACGAGGGAAATGTCAGAGACTTCCTGAAAACTAGGATGTCAATTCTGAGTGTTCTTGTTGGTGTTGGAATGACACCCTCGCTGCCAAAGCTTGTGCAGGCTGGTCCTCCTAAAGTTCTTTCTGTTCTTTTAGATGGTCGTGTTGTTGGTTCAATACCATCTGACCTAGTTGAAAAGGCGGTCACACACATGCGAAGATTAAAATTGTCAGCAACAGCACAGGTATGTTCTGTTGCGTTATGTTTCAAAATTAGTTTTTAAATCAGTACTTATAATGTACGGAAATAATAGATTCCTGAGGATCTCGAGGTGGGATATGTTCCTTTGAGCATGTGTGGGGCATACCCTGGCTTATTCCTGTTCACATCTCCTTCAAGATTTGTTCGTCCAGTCAGAAATATCTCGATCCCTCCTGAAGAGGGCAACAAGTTTGAACTTATCGGACCCTTTGAACAGGTAGTTATAATTGCCAATAGGTACTTCAGCCTACTTGTGCTTCTGTAACTACATAAAGATTTTCTGCTATGTACTTAACTCTTGCACTGGATCCATTGTAGCTGCGAATTTTGCCTTCTTATAAGGATACTGCTTTGTGCAGTCTATATGGAAATAAGCTGTCCTGATGGGGAGGTGGTGGGAGGAAGAGTATGTTCCTGCAACTCATGAGAAATTCACCCAACTGGGATATTGAGTGTTTGTTGCTAATCTTACACCTTGGTCAGATCACAATCAAAGCCCTCGTAATATGTACCAGTGTCAGGTTTGCCACATGTGGTTCAAACAGTTAATTTGTTTGTATAAGTGCTGCTATTCTTACTATTTATGCTCTATGTCATCTAGATGGGAAAACAAACCATGGGATTCCCTTCTCAAGCATTACACAGTCGTGCTGATCAAAAGCTTTATCATCTTCAGGTTTGTTCTGAAAGTTTTGTCCTTTTGCTTTTTAGAAAATGGCATTTCCAATAAAATGATTCCTTGTAGCGGCGGCAGAGCAACATTATTATTATTATTATTATTATTTGGTTGTATTGCTTCCTCCTCATTATCAAATTCTTTTCCTTTCAGTTAGTTTTTAATGGTAATAGATATTCTCACTGTTTCATGCTTAATAAATGTAAAAAAATGTGTAAGACGATTGCTTTAAATTTTTATCTCTGGGTGGTGGAGCAGCTAAAGCAGAAAATGCTGCTATATAGAAGAGCCAAATATGAGCTGTAGGAGTCCTTTTTTTAATTCACTTTGGTCAATAAGAAAAAGAGAGAAAAAGGAAAAGAGAAACGAAAGGACAATATGGAATAATTCAAAGAGTTGATTTCTCAGTCCCTTCTGGTTCATCCATTTTACTTCGCTAATTTTTTCCTTTTTCAATGACATTTTTGTTTTAGTGAACAATGAGAAGTGTCACAAGAATTCAGGTTAAGTTGATAGGAATAAATAGTATCGTCCTGGTCAAATGATGAGATGATTTCATACTGAATCGTTTCATGATTGTACCAAACAGAACTTATGCTGGGAGGATATAAATGTGGTTGTGGTGGGGTGCCTATCATGGTTAAGAACCTTGATGAATAATGGTATTGTTCATAATACCTGAGTTCTTTTAGATGATACTTTAGTTTATGTTAACTTCATTATTAGGATGGCAATGACTTGGTCTCCCGAAGATCTACTCAAGAAGTGGTCACTTCTAGGTGTGCATCTTCATGAAGCAGTTTTTTCACCCATTAAAGGTGATATTGTTCCATGTATTGCCTTGTTCATCTGTGTGTTTGGAGTCAATCACTTTTTGGAATATGTAATAGGTTGATTGTCTTTCTGCCCCTTGCTTATTAGGTTTTTCCTTGCAAGATTAGGCAATAATTTGATTCAGGATTGCCTTTACTGTTATGATCAATTAAGAATGGGAAATTTTCATATTTAGTTTTCAGTAGGTCTTTGATTATCATTGGCATTGATTGTTGTACACTTGCATTTAGGTTCAGGCACACTGTTTACATTCTAATTTTTTTAAAACAATAAGAATCTCCTATGTGTTGTATTTCATAGTTAACCTGACCTTACTTTTGATGTGGTAAGAAGTCTTGTGATAAATTAACCTGTTTGCGAACAACTATGGAGGTATCCTAAACACAAACATTTAACCAACTCAATGAAACTGCGAGATGGATCAATTTACACTTGCATATCTAGATTGCTGATGTGCCAGCAGTAGCAATAAGTAATATACGTAAAATGGAGGTATAGTGCTATTTGCTTTTTAAACAATTTTCTTAATGGAAACATCTAAAACAATCAAAGAAGGTTCATTCTTTGATAATTTAGCATGTTACTGTGACTTTGGACAAATATTTATTTGCAAATTACTTTGGAAGTGCTGATACAAGTGAGAGAGACATTTATACTTGATATCTGGTGAGATGCGAGTATCATGCAAGATTCTGGGAGACAAGGTGGACAATTTGTCATGTAGAGTAGCAAGTTTCGTACTCTTAACAGATTGCTGATCTCCCTTCTGATGACTTGTATAGTTCTCATTTTTGGGGGGTATTTTGATTTCACTTTCCAGTCTTTGAATATATTTTGAATGTGGCTGATTAACCCTTCTTTTGACTCTGCTTGATATTGTGCCTTACAGACTCCCAAACACCTATTGTACGCACAAAGGCATATGAAAAGTACCACATTGATGAGTTTCCATTAGGAACAAATGCTATTGTGGCAGTTTTGGCTTATTCAGGGTATGAATTATAAACATGTTGAAAATCTGAATTATATATTATAGGTACTTATACTTTTCTTGGTATCCTGTAGATATGATATGGAGGATGCCATGGTCTTGAATAAATCATCTGTGGAACGTGGGATGTTTCATGGTCACATATATCAGGTAGCATGTGGTGCTTGGAGTTTTAGTTTCTTGACTACAATCAGAAAGATGCAGTATGCAATGATCTTTTTATATTGTACTTGTAGTCACTTTAATTTTTGAACATTATCAATCTTAATCTCAACACTTTGCTTTACATCTAAGATCTTGTCTTAATTTACTGGGGTACTAGGTTTTTATCATCTGCATC